AAAAAAAAAAAAAAGAAAGACATGTCCCTGTTATGGATTGAATGTCTGTGTATCCCCAAAATTCATATGTTGAAACCCTACCCTCCAATGTGATAGCATTAGGAGAGAGGGCCTGTGGGAAGTAATTAGAATTGGATGAGTGCATGCAGGTGGAGTCTCCATGAATGGGATTAATGCCTTTATAAGAGTCGTAAGACAGCTTGCTTCCTCTCTGCTCTCTCTGCCAAGTGAGGATACAAACAAGAGTCTGCAACCTGGCAGAAGGTCTCACCAGATCCCAACCATGTTGGCACCCTGATCTTGGGACTTCTAGCCTCCAGAACTGTCAGAAATAAATTTCTATTGTTTTTAAGCTACCCAGTCAATGGTACTTTGTTGTAACAGCCCAAAATGACAGTCCCATTTGCAAATTTGTTTATTCAAGAGGATAAAAAAATCAGAGAGAAAGAAAGTTACCAAAAACAAACAGAATCAGTCTATCTTTTCTTCTATAACAAAAGATGATGGAATAGAGTTCTGAGGTCGAAGAATTGAGACCCTTGATTTTTATAACCAGTCAAAAGATCATTCATGTTTGGAAGCAAAAATAATGTATTTTAGGCATGTAAGGATGCAGAAAGTATATCACCTATGGGCTTTAGAATTAAAGAGAAGGAAAGGGACAGGGAAAGAGGAGGAGAAGAAGAAAAGAAATGATTTTTAAAAGAAGGAAACTGCATCAGAATAAAGATTTCAAGATTGGGAAAGATGTAATATACAAGAAAGAGCTATGAATAATAAAACCAGTCAAATGTCTAGTTACATCCGAGTAACTTGATAATGTTGTACACTGTTATAAAAGTATCCTTAAAATCAAGAGGTATGTTTTAAGAAAAATAAGCAGGAATATAACTGGTAGGGTTGGGAGATGGGGGAGAAATTAAAGCATGTTCAAGATTCTCCTCTTATTAGGCAGGTGAGAGGAGGATGACACAGCTACTGGAGAATTTTGCCACTAATGAATACACGTTCAAACATGATTGTTTCACATTGAAAGATGACCCCTTACCTCCACAAACCACCAATCAATTAGCTGCATATGTCACTAATCTATAATCTCACGGACCTCCAGTCACTGATTTCTTTTTTTTTTTTTTAAGATTTTATTTATTTATTTGACAGAGAGACAGAGAGAGAAAGCACAAGTAGGCAGAGCGGCAGGCAGAGGGAAAGGGAGAAGCAGGCTCCTGACTGAGCAGGGAGCCCGATGTGGGGCTCGATCCCAGGACCCTGGGATCATGACCTGAGCCAAAGGCAGCTGCTTAACCTACTGAGCCACCCAGGCACCCCCAGTCACTGATTTCTAATAAGCCCCATCACTGAGGGCCACTGGCCTCCCAATCATTGATGTAATTCCAAAATGACTGATCCCAACAAACTTCCCAATCACTAACAGCAACAGATTTCCCCAATCGCTCCCCAGACACTCCAGTCACATATTCCCAGGGGTCCTCCACTACTGATACCCATGGAACACATCAATCTCTATCTCCGATACGACCCCAAATCCCTATCCTATCAATCCCCAATCACTGACACCAACAGAACTCCACCAACAGCGGCCTTTACAGAAACCCTAATCACTGCCAGCAAACTGCACTGCACCTTCAACCTCTTTGGCCAGTCCCTTCACCTGCTCCCTTTATCTGAAATCTACCAGTCTCCTGAGAATCCTGCCCCTTACAGTGTTCCCTGGAGGAGGTTGTTTGTTTCGGCCCAACCAAGACTCATGTACCTCATGGCCTGAAGATGAGGTAAATGCTAACTTTCAACCATTTTTCATACGTCCTTCAAAATCCCGATCATGTTTAGAATATCACGAGACTTTAAACCATTAACCCTCTGGTTCAATGATTCACTAGATAAACGCACAGGACTCAGCATACAGTTGTACCCGTAGCTATGATTTAGTACAGCTCAGGAACACACAGCAAAATCAGCTAAGGAAACGGTGTGTATGGGGTAAAGTCTACAGAAACCAGGCACAAGCATCCAAGAGTCCTCTTCCAGCGGAATTATGCAGCGCATACTTGATTCCTCCAGAAATAAGTTGCGAGAATACGTGTGAAACGTTGTTTCCCAAGGAAGTGCATCAGAGACTCGGTGGCACTCATAGGCACCCTCTGCCTGGCACACACAAAGATCCTAGGTTCCCAGAAGGAAATCAGGAGCTCGGCATAAACCACACTGTTTACATAGTTTAGGCACAGTGAGCCACTTTTATTATTTCTGGAAACGATAGGAAGCCTCCTGAAGTCTAAGTTCTCAGACATCAGCCAAAGGTCAACCTTGCAAGCAGGCTTTTCGAAGGATAGCTGTTTGAGGCCACTTAGGTCAACTTCTGCGCACAGTCATTCTGCCTCGTTCACTGAAAACTTGAACGCCACGCTCCTCCTCACTCCAGCTCCTGAGCTCTCACTACATCAACGTAGAGGAGTCCACAGCCTGGCCCTTCTCTTTCCTGACTCCAACAATCTTTTCTCACACCCAAACTCAGCCACCTCCTTCTCACCCATCCATTCCTCTCTACTTAAAACATTCCACCCTCCGACCACTGTTTCCTATGCTGTCAGCCTTTTTCCTCTAGCACTTCCATGCCAATAATTCTCCAAATGCATTCAGCCCCCAAAGCATTGATCTGAATCACTTTTCTACAGTCTTCCATCACCACACGGCCTTACTTTTCTTCTATCTTGTTTAGATTCTTTGTTCTAACAGCATATGCACTCCATGGAAAACAGCTTTAACTTCCTTGCCCCTTTTCTTCTCCACTGTACTTACCTAGCAAAGCCTCAAACTTAATCAAACCCAACTCTCTTCTTCATCTCTGCCTGCAACCTTGTAGCTGAACATCCCAAGAGAGAAAAATCAAACAACTGTGTTGCCTGGACTCACTTTAGGTTTATAACACATATCGCAATTGGGCATCCAATACCGGGAGTTTCCTATTCCTCTTTCCAAGATGGTCATTCCAAACATTCTCCTCTTTCTCTCGGAAATCTCCAGCATCTACTCCTTCCCCACTCTCAGCTGATAAATTCATCTTATACTTTCAAAGAGAAAGTAAGTGTAAATGGACAAGAACTACCTTGCCTTGTCACCACCAATTCCACCAATCTGTTTCCAAAACCCCTATCATCTGTCTCCTTTCTGTTAAAATGGAAGAAGTGTTCCTTTTCTCACCTAAGGCTAGTTTCTCCACTTACGCTCTACAGCCCATCCTCAACGGCCTTCTCAAGGAATTCACCCCCTGCAATTAACCTCTTTCTCTTTTGTTTTAAACATTTTTATTTTATTTTATTTTATTTATTTATTTGAGACAGAAAGAATGAGAGAGAGCGAGCACATGAGAGGGGGGAGGGTCAGAGGGAGAAGCAGACTCCCCACCGAGCAGGGAGCCCGATGCGGGACTCGATCCCGGGACTCCAGGATCATGACCTGAGCTGAAGGCAGTCGCCCAACCAACTGAGCCACCCAGGCGCCCCACCTCTTTCTCTTTTGTACCACCTATTTTTCCCTTTCTACTCAATCATTCCTATTGACATACAAAGTTGCTTTAAAATCAATTCATCTAATGAAAACCATCTCTTAATCTCATGTCCCATCCAATGTCAATTTATTTGCTCCCTTTACCAGCAAAACTCCTGGTGTGGTCGATACTTGCTGTCTCTACTATTTACCTCCATTCTTTCAACTCATTCCAACAGGATTTTACTTTTATCACTCCACTACAAAGCTCTAATCAATCAAAATAATCATTGAGCTACATCTTGCCAAAGCCAAATTCTCTGCAGTCATGCGTCTGGGACTCACAAGAGCCTATGGCACAACTGTGACGACACGACTCGCATTGTCTTGAAAAGCTTTCTTCTTTATGCTTCTTTGACACCACCTTTACAATTTTCGTCCTATCTGAAAGATAGGAGAGATGACTCCTCCTCATTCTCTCTTTTTTTTTTTCTGTCCTCTACCAAACCTCTACATGTAAGAGTGACCCAGAGCTCTGTCCTTGGTCCCTCTTTTCTTCTCTGTCTGCCTTCTCTCCCTAAGTGATCTCATCCAATCTTACGGCTTGAAATACCATCTGCACGCTGAAGCCTTTCACATATGGATTCTTTAGCCCAAACCTCTCCTAAGTTTTAGATTCACACATTTAACAACTACTCATTCTCTACTTGGACATGTAATGGGCATCTTGACGTGGCCAAAACAGAACCACTGTCATCCACTCTGGCTCCCATTTATATCCATCAAATCTGGTTGTCTCCAACACAACCCTTTCTCAGAAAAGGGAAGCACCCTTTATCCAGTGCCTCAAGCCAAAAGTCTAGGTGTAAATCCTGATTCTTCTCTTCCCTCATGTTTCATATCAACTCATCAGTAAGTCCTACTGGCTCATCTCCAGATGTATTCTGAATCTGATTTTGCATTTCCCTATTCTAAACCATCATCACCTCTTCTCATTAACTATTGTGATAAACCCCTATCGGACCTCCCTGCACCTCTGCACCCACACAAGGACAATCCGGTAACTCCCACAGGCACTATAATCGCTTGGCTCCCATAGATCACAAATTGTCACACACGTCCCCAGTCTTCGACACACTACAGAGCCCCTATATCTGATCCCCAGGGCCTTCCAGACTCTGGCTTTTCCGTGAGTGCCACAGACTCCCCGCCTCACTGTCACCGCACATCTCCCCAAACACGGATTTCCATAACCTGTAGCACCCGCGCACCCTGCAGGGCCCCCATCACTGCCCCACAGATCCCCCAGAACGCCGACGCCCCTCCCCCCCCCGCCACAAGGCCCTCCAGCATCGCCTCCGATTCCCAAATCGCTCGTCTCAGAGACTACAGTCACCCTCCAATCACGGACCCCCAATCAGACCACCTCGGACCACCACGCCGCCCCGCCCCGCCATCGCGCTCACCGCCGCGCTGCCCCCCGGCTCGGACACAGCCATCTCCGCTGGCCGCCCGGCCCCTTCGGCCGTCCCCGCACTCCTCCTCCGGCCCACGCCCTCCCGCTTTGTGAGGATCGGCTCGCAGGCGGAGGCCGACATGGCGGCGGCTCGAAGCGCGGCCTCAGTGAGTCCGGCGGCTGCCATGGCGGCGCCCCTGGGTATCGCGGCCGGGCGCGGCCATCTTGACCGAGGCTCTGCCGTACAGCGGGGGTCCGCGCTCCCCGCGGGCGCGCAGGCGGGTGGCCGCGGGGCTCCGTGGAGAGAGTCCTGAGAGGTGCGCTGCGAGTCGGCAGAAAGCGTGCTCAGTTCCTCACTGCACGATGCCTCGCGGTGTCCGACGCCCAGAGGCTCGGCCACGCGAAGGCAGAATTTGGAGTTGCCTTTCCGAATTGGTCACCGCAGCCTGCTGCCGGGAAACCCGCAAGCATGAAGCCCAGCGAGGACTCCAGACAGCCAGGATAATAAGAGAGATTGAGGGAGGAAAGAGAAAAAGCCCGATCACGCAGACACCACTGTTTTATAGGGAAAGAGCACTAATCGCTCAAATATATGTCTTTACATGTACGGTATAAGAACAATGAGAGGGCGCCTGGGTGGCTCAGTCGTTAAGCGTCTGCCTTCGGCTCAGGTCATGATCCCAGGGTCCTGGGATCGAGTCCCACATCGGGCTTCCCGCTCTGCAGGAAGCCTGCTTCTCCCTCTCCCACTCCCCCTGCTTGTGTTCCTGCTCTCGCTATGTCTCTCTCTGTTAAATAAATAAAATCTTTAAAAAAAAAAAAAAAAGAACAATGAGAAAAAAAGGAAGCGGCAGGTTCCATGAACACATCACTCCTCCGTGAAAACCCACGTCTAATGGAGATCAAACAGAACCCAATAATCAAACAATTGGAGCAGAAGTTATTTCTCAATGAGCTGTTTGGTGTATTGACGCCATTCATTTAACAATTATATGTTGAGCTTTTACTGTGTGCAGACTAGGTTGCTGCGCTGTGCTAGATAATGGGGAAAGAGTGGAGACCCACTTAGACACAGCCTGTGTTCGCCCTGCTGGAATTTACAATGGGGCAGTAGGCTTGTGAAGTTATTCTAAATATGCTGTTCCTTTTTCCAGAGTCAAACACACCCTGTTTCGCACCTTCCACTTAGATGAATAAAGGACTAGGTCCCTCAGTCAGCAACGGCTGCATCTGCGGCCTTTGCCCTCTCAGTCTTTAGTCTGAATATAATTCTCAGTGCATCTTCACTGAGCTCAAGACTCCCTAGACCACCTAATTTCAAGACAGTTTTCTGCCTAGTCTCCCCATCCTATTACTGAAATTTTTTCCTAACAATTATTTTTTGCCGTTGCACAAATCACAGTGGTACGTTTCTCATTTATTCCCAAACTATCCCAACAATGCTTTCCCTAGTCTTGTGGCATCAATTCTAGAGCCTAACAAAGTATGTTGTAAATATTATGACAAGCAGAATGCTAATATGGCCCCCATTATTTCTGCCCAACCCCCCCCACACCCCGTGTTACACCATTATGAGATCCCCTCTCAGGAACCTGTGATATCATTCCCATGATAAGATCCCAAATCAGTTGATTTTGAGTTCATAAAAGTGGAGATTATCCTGGGTGGACCCGACCTAATCAGGTGAGCCCTTAGAAGAGACCGGACCTTTCCTGAAGTCAGACATTACAAATATGGGGGCGCCTGGATGGCTCAGTCGGTTAAGCGGCTGCCTTTGGCTCAGGTCATGATCTCAGGGCCCTGGGATTGGCCCTTTTCCTCTACCTCCCACCCCTGCTCATGCTCTCTCTCTCTTTCAAATAAATAAATAATCTTAGAAAAAGAAAGAAAGAGGGGCGCCTGGGTGGCTCAGTTGGTTGGGCGACTGCTTTCAGCTCAGGTCATGATCCTGGAGTCCCGGGATCGAGTCCCGCATCGGGCTCCCTGCTCAGCGGGGAGTCTGCTTCTCCCTCTGACCCTCCTCCCTCTCATGCTCTCTGTCTCTCATTCTCTCTCTCTCAAATAAATAAAATATTTTTAAAAAGCAAGAAGAAAGAAAGAAAGAAAAAAAGAAAAGAAAGAAAGAAATTACAGTATGAACAGACCTGTGGAGGGGCCATGTGGCAAGCACCTGAAATCAGCCTCTGGGAGCTCAGTCCTCAACAGCAAGGAAATGATTTCTGCCAACAATCTGAGGGAGCTTGGAAGCATACCTTTCTCTAGTGGAGCCTCTAGATTAGTACACAACCCAGCCAATACCTTGATTTCAGCTTCGTGTGACCTCGAGCAGGGAATCCAGCCATGCCGGTCAGAATTATGACCTACTGAAATTCTGAGATAATAAATTTGTGTTGTTTTAATCCAGTAAAGTTAGTGATAATTTATTATGCAGCAATAGAAAACTAAGGACTCAGTGGAAATTGAAGGCTAATTGCTTGATTGAGATTTCTCTTTGTCTTCTGGGGACACAGCCCTCTTCCCTGTGTTCCAGACCGAGCATTCTTCCATCCTCATCTTCTGGGTGGGAGCAGTTGCTTCCCATGCTCCTCAAGTATAGTCCTGACTTAATTGACCCTGATATTACTGTCCTAAAGGTCCAATATTTACGTGAAAGAAAATAGCTGTCTGCTCTCTATCTGCTGATAGCTAGCTCAGAAAGAAGAGAGGCAGGCCAGTGTCTCCAGGCTTTTCTTTAACATAGTATTCCCTCACAAATGGAAACAAATCCCACCATATCTATAAACAAAAATGCTGTCCTAACTGTGACAGTTCTCCAAGACACCTTGATTCTAGTATTGACCAGTCAACCTCAGATACCCTTTGGGAAGCACAGTATTGAGAGAAAGAACTGGATGGAAAAGCATAGAAGAAGTAGGTTGAGGATATTCCTGCACTGAAGAGGGGGGATGGGAGCAAGGAGGAGAGACCTGCCAAGAGAAAATGAGGGAATAAAGTTGGTAGGTCAGGGGTGCCAGACTGGCTCAGTCTGTAGAGCATGTGGCTCTTGATTCTAGGATTGTGAGTTCAAGCCCCATGTTGTAGAGATTGCTTAAATTTTAAAAAAATGTCAGTTGGTGAGAATGGGATGGTTACCAGAAGCTTTTCAACTTACATAGTTCCATCATTTCTGCACATTGCAGTCAGTCAGTTTCCTACTTCAGATTAATTGGAAAAGAGAAAATCTTATACTTGAATTAATTCTGTAAAAACTGTAAGGATCAGTGTGTTGGTAATATATTTACATTTGAATTTTTGTATATGTTAAGACATTCTCAGATGAGTAAAAAACTTGTAATATCAAAGAAATCCCTAGAAAATTGTCTCCTTTGGATCAACTCTATTATTTCCTTTGCTA